GACGAGGCCCGCGAGGCAGAAGGTCGCCGAGAAGCCGTAGCCCGTGAGGATGCCGTAGTCCGCGTAGCTCAACGAGTCGGCCGCCTGGATCGACGTGAAGTCGTCGTCGGCGGACACGTTGTAGAGGTAGTTGAGGCTGTAGCGGCTCCACTGCTGCTGCATGTAGATGAGGCCGAGGATGAGGAGGACGAACCAGCTGTAGCGAGGAGCGGGAGCCATTGCTGACCTGGGCGGCGGGGACGGTGGGCGCACGAGTTTTGGGTCTCGACTTGAGGCGCGCCGGCTTGCGGGGGCGCGGAGATCGCGCTGCGGGGGATGGGGAAGCGGCGGGGATGTCAGCCTCGGGCCCGCGGCGCAGGCGGGGCGATGCGTGTTTGGTGACGACACACGGTCGGGGGCGGAGGCCAATTCAACGAAAAACGGTACCTGCACCTTGTCTCTCAATCCGTCTCACGGTGGAGATGCGACCACTTCGAAGCACGGTGGAACTAAGCGAATGCGGCGTCGGCCGCGTGCACTGATGGGCGCCCCTTGGTCGCCGTGTCGAGGCGACCATAATCCGTACTCAAAGCTTCCCCTGAGGTGCCCCATACGCCTAGCGCCGGGGGCGCCGAGCTGCCGGCGCCGAGCTGCCCATCGCGTGGGTGGACCTCGGCGCGCTACCGCCTCGCTTTTGTAGAACTTTATTTTTTTATTAGTCGCCCGCGCGCCACGAAATCGCACCCCCGGCGCGCGGCGTATGGGGCCGGGCACCTCAGAGGAAGCTGTCAGCGCGGATTACTACGAGTTCAAGGCCGACGCCGCGGCCAAGGTCGTGACGGCCAAGGCGCTCCTGGGCGTCGTCGGCTCGTTCAAATTCATGCTCGCGCTGACCATCTTCAGGGACATCCTCACGCAGCTCAACCTCGTGTCGAAGGCCTTCCAGAAGGCGCACGTCTACTACAACGACGCCCGGGAGATCCTCGCATCGGTGAAGGCCGGCCTCACGGCCCAGTACCTGACCCCGGACTTCGTCGGCGGCGAAGACGACGAGCTTCACGTACAACAAGGTCCCGGGCCTGACGCGCAACCAGAAGGACGAGCGATGGGTTCGCGAGGGCGCCGTAAAATACGTCCAGTCCATCATGGACGGCCTGGAGACGCGCTTCCCGGACGACGACAAATTGTCGGCCCTCTGCATCTTCGATTTCACGCGCCTGCCGTCGACCCAGGAGCAGTGGGACGCCTCCAAGACGGACTTCGGGCTTGACGAGGTCGACACGCTGCTCAAGCACTTCGGCACGGTCCAGATCACG